AATGCCGAAGTGAGTAATTTAGTTCTAGCCAAAACTGCCCAACATGTCTCTCTAAACACTATCTATCTGTTGCTCCTCTTGTTGTCTTCTCGTAAGTGTGGAGTATTCACTAATGCCATGAGCCTTCATCCAATCATAGCGCTCCAACATGTGATAACCCAATGACGTTCTAGAAGTAGTTCCAGCCAATAGTGGAACGGTTCGGTAACCGCTCCAGCGGTCACACCTAACCGTGCTGAGCCGGTGCAACTACAACTATTGTTGGCCCGCAATATGTCAAGCAAAACGCTCCTTTTATATTTGGCACTCGTTATCTAGCCCGACTGGATGTGAAAGAGTCAGGCTACATTGCCCGACCCAACCCGACGGATGCCCGACTGACCCCGACTAGATAAAGGTCCAGTTGTGCAATCAATGGAAACGCACTCCAAGTATACGTGTCCAGCGCGTATACTCGGATATTAAGACTCCGAATCTGACGAAGAGCGCAAAGCATTCAATGTACTCAGTTCACAGCGGATCCAACTTAGCACTCAAAAACGTTTTTTCTAAAGTAAAGCGATTGCTAACTTGTTAGGCTTACGCGCACATGCAGAGGTTTCGATAGCGCAAATACTGTAGTTCCTTTCTGTTCAGGTAGCTAAGTCCGTCAGCCCCGGCAAACACTTCAAACGCCAGCAAGACATACATCCCGCAGTTAAAACTGTCGACCTGAACGCCTAGATTTCCACGATAGGGAGAGACACGATACTGTCGTGGGGCGAAATTTGGCAGCTGGGTCACTATCTTCGCAGTAAGCGCTCGGACTTCAATCATGTATGTAGAAGCCATTGGGTCGTACACGATTGCCTCTGTGCGCTCCACATCCACCATAATACCACACCAATGGTTCTTGTTGCAGCATACAGGGATCAGAATTTTCTCCTTCGACAAGTTCTTGAACATGTCCGCGAATACCGTCATCGGGACTGAGACAGCACCATGTTCCATTGGACCGATCACATTTGTATCCACAGTTATAATACTGGCTTTGGACTCGAAGAGCGAGGGCATAACAAAGCCCATAGTATCGTCACTTAGTTGAGTTTTCCCAATGAGGTCCAGTATTTCCGCCTTAACTCGCATTAAGGAAAGTTAGCATGAGCTGAAACGATTGTGTACAACGACAAAATACATACCTTTGATGACAACAGGGGGATAGCCTTCAGTTTTGCTGGAAGAATGGACAGCTCTGTGACTTGAAACGACTGCGGCATGGTGACATCGAAATCAATACTCTCCGCCCAACTCAGACCTCTCTCGATAAGTTTAATGGATTTTGTAGCTGTGTGCCATTTCTTCATGATACCCACCGTTCTTGTTGAATACAAACCAATCCCAGCATTATCCAGCACCACATCCTGTTCGCGTAGTCCTTTGTATTTTGCTTGCAGTTTTGCGACTTTTCCACTGCATGTTCGAATTTGTTCGGGACGTAAAATTCTCGTTATAGAGTCCGATTGTATAACTAGCTTCGTTGGTGGTAGGCCGGATACGGTTCGAGCTGTAGACGCCTTAAACTTGAAGCTTGTGTCAATTATCTTGAACTTTGTGAGAACAGCAGCCGCGGATTCGTATGTAGCGTCGATAGATAACACACTTTCAACTGTGGCAAGGCTTAAGTTTGCCGCGTAAAGTTCCGAGTCTTTTGCCATATCAACAGCTTTTTTGCGGGCTGCTTTCTTGGCTTTGGGAATACTGCCCGTAAATAAGATCACAGGCGTGTTCGCTCACACTATTTGCCAGCCAGGTCATTTCGTCATCGTAATTTGGGTGCTGTACGCTCACGTTCTTCGTCACTTCGCCGATGAACAAATTTTCTTGTAGCGTTTGATAGTACATCATAGACGCAATGCACTCAACCACAGCCATGAAAGAATCCACCCACGCTTTCAATTGCTTCCATGAGGCTTCCAGCCTGTTGTTTGTGTTATTTCCGAGTGTCATCGTATTTTGGCGCTTATACGCACACCACATCTCACGGCAATTGTCCCAATTCCGGCAAAAGTACGCCACAAATGGGTGTTCTTCGCCGCATCGAACAGGTTCTCTCGTTGGCGTCCGGTCTGTACCCGATTTCGCATGCCCGACTGTGCCAGACTCACCCCCGACTGCACCAGACTCACCCCCGACTGACCCCGATTGACGGTCGTCTAAGTTCGGTTCACTCCCATTTGGATCCGGCACATTAGACGCTGGGACGTAATAGCCAATTGACGCGAGGTGGACCATGTACCGCAAATGCTTCTCGTATTTTGCTTCAGTCTTTGCGTACACCAGTAAGCTCATCGCACCCCCAAGTTTCTCCTTCTGGGTCTTCGAAAATCCATAGTCAGCCGAGGCAATCTCTTCACGTAGGTATTTCAGTACGTGAAATTGGCAGAGCAAAATAGTCACTCCAGAAAAAACTTCTTTCAATACTGAGATCTTCGTGAAATCCTTATCCACAAGAACACACTGCAGCCTTTTCCACGCTGGATTATTAACTTTGAATTCCTCCAGCGCCGTCAGTAAGGTAGTGTACCGCTCGTTTTGAAGCTAAGCGTGCTGGACGAGCTACCCCTTGCCAAACGTGTCATGAGCCATAAACGAAAAGACCTTGTACTTCGACCGATTCCTTCCGTGGGTGGCGTCAATCAAAAGAACTTCAGAAAACTGCTCGAACAGAGTCCTCATATGATTCGTCTGCAGTGTGATGCAGGTCGCCACTTTCTGTATGTTCAAAACACGATAAAGATAGAGTTAAGTTTTCATCTTTTCAATTCAACCCAAATTATTCACACCAGTTACCTTCTGATTTACATCGTCGAGGAAAATCCGACCAACATTACCAGGGCGGTCACCAAATTGCATCATCAACTTCTTCAACCGCTTTTCACTAGTGCTCGGGCCATCTCGTAATTCCCGAGCCTTCAACTTACGAATAAGATTGTGGACATCCTGCGAAGTCGGGTTGCTGTCCGAGTTTTCCGTAATGTACTTCATGATACTCGACTTTTTAGCACCAGCCTGTCGAAGTACATCCACTGTCTGTAAAGCATCCTCATTCAGCACAAGACGATTTGTTGGATGTGCTCTAAACGAATGGTCCGAAAGCCGATGATTGTGTTCCCGTCGGCATCTCGTTATCCTCACAGCGAAGATCATCTTCTCAGATTCCAACACCTGAACACAAGCATTTATCTACGCATAAACAATCACATAGAGAGTGTTAAGACCTCATTCGGATTTCCATCCCGACCAGACCAGTCTCAATCCCGATCGAACGAACCCGACCAAGCCCGACCGAGCCCGATCATTCACTTTACCTAGGCATTGCATCCTTTCATCCTAGACTCCTGCCGCGGTCTCTTGCCCGTGGCCTGGGACTTAACTTTCCCGGAATAGGTGCAAACAAAGGTCTTTGCGTATTGCACCCACTCGTCAGGAAGTTTTTCGGCCTTTGACTTGGTGCGGTCGGTCCGTGCGTTGCGCTCTGCCACAGTGGTATTTGTCCTCACCCTGAAAATATACAGATAAATTCATAGTGCATGTCAGCCAAAACGTGTATACACAGCTATAGAAAACACGTGCCTGGAACGTCTGTGCTTGGTATACCGCCAGATAATCTTCAAACACCTCCCAGGAGGGAAACGCAACCTTCGTAGGCGCCAAGGCGAGTACGCGGACGGAGCTACCACCTTCGCTTGTGCTGCTGGTGGATTCCGGCGGATCGGAGCAGCTCACTGGCTCCAACGGAATATGTGTCGTATCAAGATCACTCACGACGGGGGAAGGTGCCCAGACGTCATCAGGAGGCGAATCCGAGCTATTACTCTCGCTCTCGTCGGACTCCCACTCAGCTGAATGAGTAAGAGGGCGCTTTTGCGCTGCGCGCGTGCGGAGATCCATGCTTGTCGCTCACGCTCTCCCCGTTAACGAATTGTGTGGCTCACGACGCTATACGATGTAAACTGCTGTACGGATGAACCAGCTCGGTAAGAGACAGGGATGCGTAGGGGAAGGGCAATCCCAGTCGGGCAGGATATTTATATTTTACTTACTTTATTGAAGGCATTCGATATGTCGCACCTATTCGCAAGGAAAGTGCTAGCTACTGTAGCTGCTACAGTGTCACAGCGCCAGTACATGTAATTAAAAGAGCAGGAGAAAGAGGAGTAGACAACCGAATTACTCACGAGCCGTGGGATACATGAGACCGCGCAAAACAAAATGATTCTTACGAACCATTTAGAGTCATCGAGATAAAGTTGACCAATTGATTTTCGCACTTAACCGGGACTGTGACATTTGGCGTAAACTTCCATCGAAAAAACTTTAAAACTACCCTTATTCAATTGTTTTTACAAGGGCTTTATTATTACACTTGAATTGTTAAAATTAAAAAAAAATATTGAGCTCACAACACTCCTAAAAGTATCGTCATTTCGAGGGCCCATAAATGGAGATAATATAGTTTTGAGCGACCACAACTTCTTCAGTTTTAAGCCTTCTGTAGCTTATAAGGGCTCAAGAGATAGAGGATACGCACCACAGTGCTTAAATCGCGATTCGTACTTAGGTTTGTATCTAATCATTTTGTTTTGCGCGGTCTCACATGATCAGCAACTTACGTTTTTTCAGACTTTTTCATTAAGTTTATATCCAGACCTTTTGAATGCTTACAATCACTCTTTGTAAGCTTTAGACGACAACGAATTACGGGAAAATGTCGGCCTTAATATCCTTTCAGCTTTCAAGAGCTCGGAACTTGTCGAAATCCTTTAGCGCTGCTTATGCCTAGATAAGAGTCCTCATTCTTGACAGGTTGACTGGTTAAGAAGACTTGCATCTACTTCATGAAAGGTCCAGTATTGCGAGTTTCGCCGTGGATGTAAGCAAAATTGGAGTCCCGCACAACCAGAAAGTTTTTGCACTTCACTTTTTGAGAAGACAGAACGATGCAATTCAGCCAACTTTTGTTACCGATAGACAAGCTGACGAACACTTTGAAGCATGACGTCGCCCCATTTGCCTGCACTTTCACGCATCTCGTGGGCCGTCTCGAACGTCAAGGGGATTTCTCCATGGTGAAGTTTAATCAGACAGGACCGAGTGAGTACCACTATTTGCTCGTTTACCAGCTCTCCAACAGCGTTCAGCTGCTCACGTTCATGAGCTTTCACCGTCAACACGGCCGTGACGTCGTATCGAACCCTTTCTTTGGGTACATAGGGGAACAGTTCGTCCTTGTCGACAAAGTCCGCTGTGAACAAGCCAAAGGCCCCTCCGTCGCCAGACTCGTCATCATGTTCTCGAAACTCCGTGTACATGACGTTATTCATCTCCATCTCCACCCCATTTGTCAACGAAGATACCAGACGGTTCTGGGAAATACCGTCACTGGCACTAGCGTCATCCTCTCTGACCGTCACTCATCCCAGAATGTCGGTCATCCATATTTCCATGTGGGTGAAATAGTGGTACAGCGCATCGTACACTATCTTGACATTTGATATGCCCTCATACGGTGTGATATCGAACCGTAGCGCACAATAATCGCCATTGTGCGCCACGAATCTCGAATGTTCCGCAAAGGGGCTCACGGGGTCTAGAAATCTCGTACGCTCCGCTATGTACAGTTGCGAAGCCCTCACTTTTCGTGTCTTTAAAGCTAATAAAGTCTTTTTCCTCTCGTCCGTATCTGTTCCTAGGTAAATCCACATCTCAAAGGGGACATTTTGCTGTGCACTCTACAGCATATAAGGGCCTTTAAAAAAGGTGAAAGTGGGACAATAACACGCGAAATGATCCGTACCACGTAGCCGGGCAAAGCTGACTGGAGGTTAACCACTGACAATTGGTGGGGTTGCGATGCTCCAGCCACGAGCTCCTCGGCCAGTTCTCGCTGCATGTTAGTGTGTTCCTGTTTGGTTTTTGCAGGATCGGTTGCTGCTTGACGCTTGAGTTGCTTCAGCTGAGCTTGTAATATGTCCAATTCGTGAAGTGAAATTCTTTTTTCCTCTTTTCGGGCCAAGTACGTGGCCTTTTTGATGCGTCTTGGTTTGGTGGGTCCTTTGTCGCGGGCGTTGGACTGTGTGCTCGGTGTATCGAAGTTGTCCATCGCGACGTCATTGTCCTCGACGCGGCTGTGGGACGATGTGGCCTTCGTGGCGATCATGTCCCCGGACTGAGTCGGAGGCGCCATGGTAAAAGCCGGAAAAGTCATTCTCTAACTTACGTAAGCTTTATGTGGCACTTCTGGTCAAAACGTAAGCAGATTGGCTTATATTTTCAGGAATCCTTGTATTCCATGCCCAGCAGTCACTAAATTCTTCTATGGAGAGAATCAAGGATCGGGTCTGTCCGTGAATCCGTAAGCGTCGGATGCCTACGAGTACGTGCATTTTTCATTGGTCAAAATGCCGAGCCGAATCTAATCGTACTTGACATCGAAAACGCAACATGAGCGAAGTAAGATTGCCAGATACTACATCATTGGAGGCTGATGTCAAGGCTATTCGCGACGCTTGTATTTCGCGAGACACGAGAAAGAAGTACGCGGGTAATATTAACGGGATAAAGAAATGGATTCGACAAGAGCTAGCCAAAGTTGACCCTGGAACAGATCGGTATTTTGACACAAGCGGTGATCTTGACCTTGCCCAGTTCACACCAGCGGTTTTTGAAAAGTTTTTGTCGTACAAGCGAGTCCGAGCTCAGTCGGCAACGCTAAGCGGATATCGGAGTGCGATAAAGGACCTTTACCGCTTGAAGCGCATTCCAGTTCCTGTTGAATACGGAGATGACATGAAGCAGCTTTTCTCAGGCATCAAGAGAATGGAGGCTGAATTGAACCAGAATAGCTCGCCTAAAATTTCTGGCAAGCAGCCGCTGACGTATTCGCTATACAAGTCACTGTGTAAGGCTACACTCAAGCGCAATGATAGTGGATTCTCTCATCTCTTTTTGACTTCACAATGGAATTTAATGTGCCGATCTGTGTCTGTCCAAACGCTACAGACCCTCCACTTAGTGGCAAAAGATGACAGCATCGGAGCTATATTTTACAAGACAAAACCGAATCAAGAAGGTTCCGGGCCGCGTGATCCTCGTCATCCTTTCGCAAACCCGATTAGCCCATCGACGTGTTGGGTGACAGCACTAGGAGTTTATTTGGCCTGTAATCCACGATTAGAGCCTGGAGCTTTGTTTCCAGGATCTGACCCAAAGGTTAGATTCGGTAAGGCGTTAAGCAGCCTTCTCGAGAAACAGTGTGCTACTCAATGCTACGGAACCCACTCGGTGAGGAAAGGAGTAGCCACATATGCTTGCGGAGGAAGTACAAGTGGGCCGTCTTTTGTAAGTGTGTGCTTAAGGTGCGGCTGGTCCCTTGGTGGAGTACAAGATAGATACTTTCGCTACGAGGCGGCTGGTGACCAGTTTTTAGGGCGTGTGGTGGCAGGACTACCTGTACATGACTCCAAATTTGCAGTCTTGCCACCACATATTGTCAGCAATTCCGGCGCAGTTATCAGGTCAAGCGTAGCTGTTATGTTCCCACGGCTCGCTAACGAGACGAATTTGGTTGGGATTCTGGAGTTGTGTCTTGCATCACTAGTACATCACTCGGAGTTTTTGCTGGATAATCTCCCTATTAATCACCCTTTTTTCTCGTCGGCTATTTTCACGAATCAGACTATTCTCCACGACTTGAGATTACAACTAGAAAGTGGCGAGTCACAATGGATGGAAGCAACGGGAATACCACCGCATATTAATCTGTACATGAAGTTGGAAATTCAGCAAAAATCGATCGACGCGCTTCCCGGTATGCTAGAGCAGCGGATGGAAGAAGTCCTAGAACGGAAAGGCGTGGCCGCTGGAAATATTACCCGGGACCTTCTTCGAGACGAAATCAGAGCGCTATTACAAGATGTATGGCTCCAACGTTCACAGCCAGGCGATTCTGCCCAGGTAGCACCAAAACCAACGCGCGTCTGCTATTCCTGGGGCGGGAAGTTTCACAAATTGCCGAAAACCTTTGAATTTCCGAGCATCGATCCGCTGGGTGCATGGCAACTATGGTGGTTTGGTGATGACCGGCGTGAGTATCCACCCTATCGGACTATTTTATCTGCTGATCTGGATACACCAAAGAAAAAGGCAACGCTTTCAGAATGGTCAATATTCATGAGGCATATTATTAACGGCATTGAGGCAGAGGCAGATGCACCGATGCCAACTATCCGTGACCAAGCCCACTCCATTGAACTGTTTAACATGGGATTCAACACGTTAAAATTGAAGCCAAGCAAGCGTAAGCGCCGTAGTACCCAGATAAAGCTTACCACGGTGTTGAGGCTGATTCGCGAAGCTGATAACCCCACACGTACTGTAACGGGGTTACATGGTGTGGAACACACAGGGGTACGAAGTACCCGGAGAGTTAACAAACTCTCAGGACATAAGTTGGAGAGTTAACAAGGTCTCTCAGTACGTTGGCTGAAAGCCACACGTTATGCATTTGATTAGGGCTAACTATGCTAGATAGTTAGAGATACATTTACCCCTAGGCGGCTTGGCCGCAATAATAGTAAATAAAACACTTCTGGTTTTGAAGCATAAAAGTTAAGGTGTTAACTTTGAGCCCTGGTCTTGGGCTGTAAGTGTCCTTTGGATAAGGAACTTAGTATTAGTGACTCTTTGAGTCGAACGTCTTCCTCTGACGCTAAAACTACGGCAGCCCCGCTGCACGTACCCTTCCCTATAAGGCACGCAAAAGGTCTAAGGCTGCCTGTGACTGCGACAGTGAAGTGTCGAGTGCTCGGCACGCTGCATCAGTGGAAATGCATACGGAGCTGTTAGTGATACCAATTTCGTAGGCATGATAGATCTATCTGAAGTTCATGTCCAAGTAGTGTAAGATTACCATTACTTATTGCTGGCCTGCTGGCCACGCCTTAGTCGCTGAATGAATCTTTAGAGCATGCAAGGGAGCTTAGATAGTCAGTAAGTACATACACAGCACCGGGTAGATCACGCTTACATGAATTGCTCCGTTGACCTCTGTGTTCTTCTTGGTGATTTTGCCAATGGAGCTGTCAGTGGCATTTTTAGAATAATAACCAATCATAGACATTCATTTAATCGTCGGTGACTGGGACTTACGAATTCCAAAGTCAATTCATTCCCATTTCTAATCCCACCCGTTATTTTTATTTTTTATTACGACTCCTTTCTTAAAACTCGGACGGATAATTTTGGTTTTTAAATTAAAAAAGAGTGGTAAGTAGCGTTTAGGGTTCGTGGTCTCTTCACCCAAACAGCGCCATGCCGTTATCAAAGAGTGTGCCTTGGAAGATAAAATATGAAGTGGGCACGTTGGAGACAGAGTAGTTGGATGATAACGTTATCACCGTTCAAGAGGCTGATACAGCTGACGACGACTCTTTTTCGAAAATATCGCTTGCACCCACACTAAACATTGCTACGGTGTAGCGACGCTGAACACAACAGTGTTCGAGCTGCTAGCACCAAGAGTGCGATGGACATCCTTATTTACGCACACAGTGTTATCATTTGACAGTACGATTCACCCGCACGGGAATGTCAGGAAATACAAAAGTGGCGCAAATGCTGTATTTGCAGCTTCACGAAAAACCAACTCAGATGTACTTACATAAGTACGGATTGCGAAAGCGAGGACGAGAGCGAAATTGTAAGGTGTACACAAAACCCGCGGAGTATCGTCGTCCGCTGGGGTAAAGTCTGCATTCAAAGGTTATTATAGTTGAATTGTTTTACGTATCTGCTGGCTTACTACAGTATTATTGATACTCGTACCACAAAATGGCGGAAGAGACAAAATTGTAGCTTAAAAGTTTAGACAAAATGTAAATGTTGGTATTTAATAGCGTAGAAAGGATTTTTACTAATGTGCTAATATTTGCTCTGAGCGCATGCGCACCAAAACAAGTGTTATTCTATTCGTGGGGTAAAGCACATGATTTCTTGCGGTCGTTCATCGAATAGCCATTGTTTTCACAGCTGTAGCGCTATTTTGCAGTCACTCGAGGAGTGAAGTAGCGAACACACACGCAGCGTGGCTGAAGCTATTATTATAATGAGGAATATGCAGTCATGGCAGATACATTATCGGCCTACCGTGAGAGACCGAATTATCTTTCTCGGCTTGGCGTGGTCGTGGGGGGTTAAAAAACGGAGCTGAGCGATATTTCAGAGCTCAGCGAGTACTACAAAGCAGACCAGTTTTACCAAAAGCCTCGAGCGCTAGATGTGATAGAGTGCTGGAATCCGCAAGTCTTCTCGGATAATCATAGCTTGTGGGTCACTTTACAGTGACTTTGAGCCACAATGTTGTCTCCCAAAATACCCGTTGGAGCCACGTAGTTGTCAGCCATTTGGCGAGACTGGTGGCTCGACCAGTTGTCAGATTCCAGCCAAATCTGGCAATTGCCAGCTGCTCTGTGGGTAGTGCTAATGCTCTGAGTAAGTATTTCTAACGAACATGCGCATTCTCGAATCAAGTAAAGCGAAGCACAGACTTCCAATGCCTTCGACACGAGATCACCTATGTTGAAACCTCCTGATCCACGACCAATGCGAGACGGTCGGATTATGCAGAATTTTACTAGCGCTTTTGCTTCGTGTTCTGGGCGCGTGCAAATACCAATCAAATTTAGTGTCATATCGGTGGTGCTGTCAAAAACAACTGTAAATGTTTGAAACAGTACAAGAAATAAAAAGTTTCAAGTAATGTTCAGCTGACAATCATTCCCACATTTTAGTTTATTTTTTTTAAAGTTGGAAAGTCGTCAGTTGGTAATAAGCCCATCACAAGGCAAGTGCCTGGAAGCCTGTGACGCAATGTTCATGGAGGACGCGGACCACCATTTCAGCGTGCTGACACCGCTCTCGCCTCTCTCAGCGTCGTCCCCAGACGACCTACACGCGTCCCCACCGAGCTTCCTGCCCGCAGCCTCGTCCGCAAAGCCCCAGAAACCTAAGAAAAAGCGAAAGGCAACGTACGTGTTGCGGAAAAAAGAGCAGTCCGCGTTACAGCAAGAAGTTGAGCAACTAGAAAGCCAAGTTGCCGTACTCAAGTCGCACTCTCTCCCACCCGAAGAGGCCGCTAAGGCTGACCCAGTTTTGCAGCGGAGAATGCCGCACTAACGACCCTCTTGCGTCATCAGCAGTTGCATGTTGCCAATGCTCAGTCGTTGCTCTCTCGGTGTCTAGGAGACCAGCATACACACCCACTGTATACACGTATCCGGCTGACGAAAGACTGGTCAGGAAAAAGAGCAACGCTGCGAGCTATACGCGCCGAAAAGTTGCGGAATGCCTACGAGTACATTATGGCGCGAAGTAGCCACTCACAGCCAGAGAAGATGCAGCTGTCGGACGAACGCTTCGAGTCATCACAGGGCGATCTGTGCTGCGTACGGTTTGAGACGATCCACTTTCGAGGCGTCGAGTCGCTCGACCAAGTATACAACGCGCTCATCTTCTACATGACCAACATGGAGATCAGCATCTCTGAGCGGTTGGGGCACATCACCGTGCGAGATGATTACGATTCCATCGAGGGCACGGCCTATAACTCTCGAATCGCATCCACCGAAGAGTGCGGCGTCACAACGGAGATGAACGCTGTGTCATTTCCGCAACTTTTTGCCGACAACGAACTGGGTCTAGGTGTCCCTGCTTGCGCCATTATGGCGGGCCACTGTGTGGATGAGGATGAGCTGTATCCATACAATTATGTAGAGAGAATGAGGAAAGATGTGTCCGGCGCGGTGCTGCTTCCGGCGAGTAGGAGGAAAGTGAAGCACAGAGGAGACAAACGGCGACGATGCCGGGCGAAGAGGAGACCGAACTCGTCGTGACGATGCGCCGCGCTGCGTTCGTCAAGCTGCACAAACCCACGCTCCCCGTGTCACCGTTTGCGCTGCAGGAGCTGTATGAAGGAATCGCACGCTGGGGCGACGTCATGCTCAAGACCATCCGTAGTGTTGTGTATGCTTCTCCGTAGCTGCGCAATAGTACCGCAACATGTGTAACATTGGATTAAGTAGAGCATTCACTATGGCTGCTCCTGCTGCTTGCTATGAGCAGTGAGTATTTTGTAAAATCAACTTTAATCTTCACTAAAGTTTTTTTTTTTAAGAAAAGGCCGTCTACCAAAGTAGCCGTAGATCGAGCGTGGTCAGAGCATATAAAAATGCAATGGGAAGAGGGAGACATCGAACTACATTTTCAAGACAGACTAAAAGGGTCTGTTTACAGGACCCTTTTCATGGTCGTTTTTCAAGACCTGCGACTGGGCAAAATGATCAGAAGTTCAACAAGCGCCGTGTTTTGTAACTACCAATCACGATGAGTTCTACCCGCTTCATATTTTACCAGATGTGGCGTACACCACTAAAAAAATTACAATTTAGTATCAATGTATTGTGCCTTTCCAAAGTTTTGGCCAATCTGACCTTTAAAGGCTGGTCCTAAGTAGGCCTAAAGGTGGGATTTGAGGACGAGCTTGAATTGCTAAGCCAGTCCACTCAATAAAATGTTATTTGACCAATAACACTGTTTGATTTTGCCGACTATGATCCAATAATACTTGATTGTGGAGGCTCTACGTAAGGGCTCCGATTTGGTCTAAAGGGTACCTTTTATAAAATCAAGGGCTGAATAGCCAGTATTTGCCGGCCATTTACCCTTACGTACAACAGATCGATTCTAAATTAAAAATGGGCTACTCATCAGACATACGCTGGCGAGGCAAGAGTATGTGAACAGGCTATTGCCTTTCTACAGCGGGCCAGATCAAATCGTGTTTGTCGATGAAACTTCAAAGGATGGAAGGTATTGTACAATACCAATTTTGTGACTGCTACATCTTACCTTGTTAATTTTTTGTATGGTATGGCTATGGTTTAGGTCCTCCCTGAGAAAACACGCGTGGTCCGGTCAAATATGTCTTTAATTGGCATCGTCTTTTTGTTTTAGTCAAAGGGTTAGGCTAAATTTTAGTCGGATGCACCCGATCAGATAGGAGGTCTTCCGTAAGAGCCATCCTCCTACGTAGCACCATAAAACTGAGGGTGTTTTGGCAGAAAGGCACAATAGGAAGTGTCTATGTTCACCAGTACTATCGCTATGAAAACGGCCAGGGTTTGGTTACCGGGATATCGGGGTAAGAGTATCTCGTTTTTAGATTTTTGAGACTTTAGAGATTTTGCTGGCCACTCAGCTTCAAAATCCCCCCTCTCCACACTTCCAGCACCAGCACTCACCAGCAAGCGATGCCGTCACGGAAGACGAAGAAGCGGGCCCATGTCAGCGACAGCGACAGCGACCACAACAGCGGAGATGATGTCGAGTCTTTTCCCCCGTTTAGCGGTCCTGGGACCCATTCTGCGAGGAGCTAAAGAGGTAATGCTTACAATTTCTGGTACTGTATGAGATAAAAACAAACATAAATTTTAATCGATAGGTACCAGGAAGAGACGCATCAACTGTACAAGATTCGCTCTACCAACTCCGTGGCCGATCGCAACAAACAGCGTCGAGCTGTAGCCTTGCGCCGTGGGACTTCTCCCGTTATTTTTTCGACGAGTCGCTAGGGTTCTATACGAAAACGCTTATCTGTAGCACGGGTGGTCATTCAAGCCCAGGAGGAAGGAGCGAGAACCAGCCACAACACCCGTTCTATCGACTGCTCTGCAAAGCTGAATGTCATTATTATCAAGGAAGGAAACGAGAGTTACAAAGTTCGGGTCACCAAGCACGTGGTCACCCACAACCACGACGTCGGCCAAGATGTCTACTATACCTACGCAGAAGCCCGAAAAATTACTTCGCCATGCACGCAACGTGTCGTCAGGACGATGATGCAAGGTAATGAGTCTCTATATCCTAGTTATAATCGTTCCGGGTCCCACAAGCGTGGCATGCCAGGAAGTGCCCCTACCGGTATGAATAGCGTTGCACTGACAGGGAATAGTCTGCTGCTTCAGTTTTTTTTTTTTCGACGCAATCGAGCAGACGGCTGTACGTGTTCGGTTTCTGCTTTGTAACGCGGTGTGTTTACCTCCACGTCGCCAAGTGGCTGTGGACGTATAACACTCGCGTGTTTGACGGGGACGCAGTTGCCAGGGTTGCGCCGATATATGGTTGGACCCCTGAGATCTTGGTTTCCCTTTTTGCACCCGTTTTAACTCGGCTAGGGTGCTAGTATTGATTGTCATCTTACGAAATTTCGCGAAGCAAAAAAACGTTAACAAATTTTTGAATCTCAACATGAAACAAAACTGATAAAAAACGTTTTTATCACGTAAGGTTTTTTACGCTATATGAAATGTACCAATCTATAGGTTAGGATCGCTTACGACGCGCGTAAATGCGGCGCCACTGTACAGTGATGTCGATCACACGATTTGTTCTGTAAAATGGCTACCGTCTTACCCCGCACTAGACGCCTAAGCGCGGGGATATTATAATTTGGCTCTCCCTACGTTCACCAGTTCACGGGTGTAAAACAGCCATTTGCTTCAAGGAATATCGCTAGGGCGAGGGTAATGCAAAAACCGGTATGGTCGGTATTTCTGAAAAAAATGTCTAAAACTTGGTGAAGCATCGTGTGTACCACATACCGTTGTCCGATGAATTAGCTTCTTGAACATTCATTTTTCAGAGTCATTAGGAAAACACCTAGATCTTGGAGGAAGTCTACATTTGTCGTGGAGGTACGATTGCAATTGTGGGTCTCATATTCGTTAACTAGCTTGTAACATCCATAAAGACTGACTCAAACATGTTGTATCTGCAATCGTCCAGGTCTTTAGCAGAAGTAAATGCAGGAGTCAGCTGCACCAGGTCTTCGTCCACTTTAGTGTTGTGAGCGACATTGGTATAGGTCTCAAACCACTTCACAATAAAAACCCCTCAATCGTGCCCGTCGTCTTGATACCACGCCGAAGACCGGCGGATAGTTAGCTTACATGCTTGGCCGATCACTGGCACAACTTTCTTGGTCATGATTGTAGTCACTGTGTTCAAATATTCCTCGTTGTGTTTAGGATCGTAGATCCAGATTGTCTTACAGCCAAAGTCGACGATCGCTCCGCACCAATGGCTAATGTCAGCGACGATGTAGACTGGAATCAGGATGACGCGACTTCGGCAGACTGTACTCAGCAACTGTTCCCTGGTATCCAACATTCTTGCACGGTCTGCAGCGTCTTGAAGACCAAGAAAAACTGGATCAACGACGTGCACTTGGGTGATTCTACCACTATTTTGGGTACGATTCTATGGTTCCGCTACCTTCAGTGCCGCTACAAATACGCACCCGTCACTAAGCCACATTTTACCCGCAAATCTTGTCAAGTCGTCAAACTGAACAAGTGTTTCCCCGCTCGTGGATTTCAACGACGTGTACACATTAATCTTTTGCACACGCTTCAATATTTCGCAGCGGGTCTCTGTTTGGGGCTTCGTTTCGATCCACTTCATCAGCTTCCGAACGGCATATATTTTTTCTTCAGACAATGCCATTCATACATAGTGTCAATGTCGACAAGAGAGAATGATCCCACATCCAAAATTGAAACGGTGATGTCCTCGTGTGGTGGTGTACGACCATACTCGCTCTGCCCTCTCGAGATGGCGTTCCTGCCGGCTGTTTGAGCTTTTAGGACGAGTTGCTCTGGAAGTACGTATCTTATATTCGTCTCCACGCTCTTTGTTGTTCCCGGAGTAACCACATGTCCTTTCGGTCGTTTGAAGACAGCATCATCATGCCTGGGGCGAATCGCATTGAACACGGGCTCTATTTGCTCCAGCGACAGCTTCTTTTGATCCACATATTCACGCAAGGTGGACAATGTGGTGTCTCCATAAGTGTTTATCTGCTGAATAAGCGCCTTGGTGTCTTGAAACTCCTTTCGACGCTTGGCCTTCTTTGTAGAAGCTTTTTCGCGTGGTCTTCCTGCAGGTTTACTGGACGCGTTCAACACAATGTTGACTATTTCATCGCTCGAGTCGCTGTCTGAAATGTAAAGGTTTAGCCTCCGTCTAGTTATCACGTTGAAACCTGGGTGGACCGTCCTTCCCTTTCGATTTTTATCTCCATCGGCGAATCGGACGCCAGAACACGTCCAGAATTGGTTGTATTTTCACCAACACTAGCTGAATTGGTGACACCATCACCAGTATTTTCACCAACACTAGCTGAATTGATGACACCATCACCAGTATCATCACCAGAATCATCACCAGTATCATCACCAATATCACACGAATTGGTGACACCATCACCAACGTTGTCACCAGTGTCTTCCAAACTTGCGAGTTCTCCAACGGTACTTGCGTCCGTGTAGGATGGCGGTACATCATTGTGACGGGCGATTTTCTCCAGGTCTTCCAAATGGTTAAGCCAAACGCGAAAGCTTCGTGACCCTTTGTCTGCAATGACTTCGGCTATCCTCTGGCACACTGCAAATCCCGATCGATACTTTTGATTATGTCCAAGGACACGTCTTGAAGGCGCTTCAACATCTTCGATGTAGAACTTCTGTGTCATATCAGGAACACTTGAGTCTTCTCTGTTATCCGCAAGCAACCATCTCAGCGGAATCGCCTCACAGGGAATAATAGATCGAAATTCTGAATGTTGCCGCCGCAAATACAAGATGTGACGGCAAGGAAGTAACACGATCTGGTAAAAGGAGCAACTGCAGGAGTTCTCATACAAGCTGACAGCATATTTCGCACCCGAGGCTGTAGAACTAGAGAGAGTAAAGGTATTTCCCTCACTTTAAACAACGTACGACACTCTTTCGCTAGCGTGATACTGCTCCTCGACTAAATTACATGCGTAATGAGTAGCGCACTTTGCCAGGGCAGTCATCTCGTCATCGTAATTTTGATTGTAGCGAAAACCGACGCGCTTGACCTTCGCATTATACACGTCTTCTGCAGACTGTTGTAGAAATAGGAGATGGTCGATACACTCATCCATAGCCATATGAC